GGCGAATTACGTCCGCGATGTCGCAGTGCCATGCGGATTTGCGCGGCCTTGGTACATGTGGGCAGACCGTGCGGCGAAATTATGTCCATGATGTCGCGGTGCCATGCGGACTTGGTGGGAAGTACGTTTGCGGGTCTGCGTTTTCTCACTCATTTCACTTGCAAGATCTTCTCTTTTGATTCTTATATCTTCTCATCTTGTTGCGTCTTGTTCAACGCCTTTATATCCAAAATTCAAAACCTCTGCTACATCTGCTCACCTCCTCTACGCCACTTGTTCCTGTCATCACATCTTCTCACAGATCTCACTTCATATCTACTTTCTCTTCTCCTTTCTTCTCACCTCTTCTTGTATCTTCTTCACCACTTCTACATCCTAAATCATCAGAAACTAAAATTCATGTTCTACATCTACAAACTTAACATCTACATCTTTCTTTTTCTCGCTCTCGGGCCACCTGTCGTCTAGTTTTCCTGTCCCCTGATCCCCCCCAGAAACAGCTTGTTTCGATATGTTAAATCATAAATCCCTCCTGGGTGGCCTGTGACTAGAAGCCCTGAAAACAATTGTTTTCTCCATTTCGACATTTCAAAAAACGTAGTGCGCCCGCAGGATTTAGTTTGGGCAGTACAAAGGAGGATCTCAAAGGCAAATGGAGGTGGCAAACGTTTGGATCCAAAATAGGTATGGAAGACGACCCACCTTTTCGAAATCAAACAGAATTAAAGGAAACTGGTCGATCAACCTTGCATTGTCAACCTTGTGAAAATGCTGACAAACCAAACAATCTGACCTGACTCCTATTGTGTAGGTAGCTGGAACCCCAGCATCTCGAGCCACGGAAGCACTGACGCAATACTGATACAAGCAAGCTGCACGGGCTCTGTAATCAGGTCTTGGTTGGATGCCTTGCTCGCGTTGGCCATGAGATGGAAAGCCTTGGCTCGCTGGTTCATTCAACGTGCTTGTCTCAATCTGGCTGCCGGAAATATGGCGACACATGCATATTGTGCATTGGGTGATGGTGTCTCAAGCAGTTCTCCTGCTGTCGAGCAACAGCTGTTTCTTGGGTTATGATCATGATGCTGACAACAACCACGGGTTTGTTGGCATCGCTTCCCATCTCTTCTATTGCTGATGCCTTGGCAGCTTTTCGATCCAAGGGTGACACCATGCGAAGGCGCCCTCTCTTTTCCTCTCACACACACAATGAGGAGCAGGCCGGCAAGGATATGCTAACATCCTTCCAATTCATGCCAATTCATCAAAATGAGAACGTGGATTTAAGAAACACACCAAAGAAAACAAACCGCCGGGCCTGAACATTTAGTTCGAAGAGCGGGGTGTCGCTGCCGTTCCCGCGCTGAAAGGCAAAACTTGTGATAGGCTGGCCCTCTGGTCCCTGCGCGCAACTGCTCGGACAGCGTGATACTTACTTAGTATGGGTTTTGCTGTCAGGCAAACGGATTGCAATTGTTTGCTCTACCAAATTTGATCAGTTTTTTTGGAACGTGTGTGATGCTTATTGTTCCCGAAAGCATTGCAAAGGGTTCTTCCGGAAAATCTCTTGAACACTGACACTTCTACACTTACACACACTTGAACACTGACACTTCTACACTTACACTTGAACACTTACACTTCTACGCTTACACTTGAACACTTACACGTCTATACTCACAATGGCGCAGAAGTATCCAAGTGAAAGTTTGTTTGTAAGTGTGAGTATCCCAGTGTAAGTGTAAGAGTGAAAGCATGAGTATCCCAGTGTAAGCGTATTAGTGAAAGCATCCAAGTGCAAGTATGCAAGTGTAAGTATCCAAGTGCAAGTATGCAAGTGTAAGCGTCCCAGTGAAAGTATGCAAGCGTGAGTATTGAAAATGAAAACTTCCACGGGAGGTGTCCTAATGAAAAACATTTCCCCGCTTTATAAAATCTCTTTAAAGGCAGGGGGTGGGACGAACAGCGTCAACCGAAAATGCAACCCTCTGCGGAGATCGCGCATGTTGAGGGCACGAAATTTGCAGGCGAGAGTGCGATGTGTCCGCGGGGCGCGCAGCCCTCTGCGGAGATCGTGCGGGTCGAGTGCGCGAAATGCAGGCGAGAGTGCGATTTGTCCGGTGCGCGCGCAACCCTCTGCGGAGATCGTGCGTGTCGAGTGAGCGAAATGCAGGCGAGAGTGCGATTTGTCCGGTGTGCGCACATGCAACCATCTGCGGAGATCGTGCGCGTCGAGTGCGCGAAATGCAGGCGAGAGTGCGATTTGTCCGGTGCGCGCGCAAACCTCTGCGGAGATCGTGCGTGTCGAGCGCGCGAAAATGCAAGCGAGAGTGCGATTTGTCTCATGCGCGCGCAACCCTCTGCGGAGATCGTGCAGGTCGATTGCGCGAAATGCAGGCGAGAGTGCGATTTGCACCGGGTCGAGCGCGCGAAATGCAGGCGAGAGTGCGATTTATCCCATTCGCGCGCAACCCTCTGCGGAGACCGTGCGGGTCGAGTGCGCGAAAAGCATGAGGGCGACTTGTCCCATGCGCGCGCGTATCTTGGGAGCTGGAAGATGAGAACTGGCGACTTAGTACAACTGTAGTACGCGGATTAGCTGGGGAGCTGGAAGATGAGAACTGGCGTATAACTTTAGTGCGGGGACCACCTGGGGAGCTGGAAGATGAGAACTGGGGACGTCGAAGTACAA